ACGTCCAAATTAAATGACTGCCTTTGATTGCTAGCGGCCATTATCATTTCGCTAAAAAATTTCACCAATGCTAACTCCTTCAACCGGTTTGTTAGTGGACGAAATCAAATAATCACTTGAACTCCCGAGAAAGCTTGAGTGGACTACTGGCTCAACCCTTCCAGAGGCTAACCCGATATGGCATCCTCATTAGGCGAATTAAAGAATCTACCACTGATGAATATGACATCTCAGCCCTGACGGAAATGGTGAGTTTTGTAAAACTTAGTCCATTGAACAATAAAGTGGGTCCTAAAATGAGTGTCTAATGCCCTCAGCTGGCAGCAGTGGAAGATTTCGTGAAGGAGGTTGATGTTAATCAGCCAGAGCAGGAGTCTAGGACAAAACTGAATGATTTCATCCAGCGTATTCACAAATACAATATCGCTGATTCCCTCCGATCTGATTTTAACACGGAGTTGCCCCCGGCGATGGCGGACATTGGGACTATTCTGCGTCAGCCAATGAGGATTAAGGGACGCTCGCGCACGCGGAAACCAATTGCCGAAGTCCATGCCAAGGTCAAGTATGTAGGAGGAAAGGTATGCAAATGATTTCGTATCATGGAAAGGTATAAGTGACTTTGGGACCCATCGAAAATAGAATCGTTAGTTAGTAAACTAAACTCAAAATCCGCTATCGCGATCTACTTGTTTTAAAGATTAAGCCTAACACGATTGTTCCCACAAGTTAAAAGGACGAATGCTTGGCAAACTTATGATGAGATCCATAGTGAAGCTCGAAGGTCATTGGGGAGGCCTAATGACCTTATGACATTTTTATCTGTCATTGACTCATCACCTTGACCTTTTGGCAGCATAAAGCCACATTTTTGTTAAACGCCCAGTAATGGTGAATGCGGTAGATTTTTAGTTGTGAATATAGGTTTAGTGTCCCAAAGCCGCCCTATAAACGAAAGGAAGACCTAGGTGTCGTTTGACATGGCAGAGAAGTCGGACCATCTGGTGGATTTACAGTGACAGACTCAGAGTGTTCCATTAGCAAAAACGAGCTGAACAATCCACCAAAACATTGTGTGAGAGTAGGATTAAATGTGAGACCACCCACTACATTGATGAAGCAGCACCACTTCAACAGCAAGGCACAAACGTTCAGTTCGCAATTGATCATTCTTTAAATTGACACATTATTTACATAGTTCAGTAAATATTTTAGGGAGTTTTCGCTTTCAAACATATTAGGCATTAGAGATTGCGCTGGAAGTCCACTTAAGCCCTATCTGCATCCCTTTATGCGGTATATCCATACCAAAACTTATTCAAGCTATAGTGTGCAACAAGCGGGACCATATTCCTCTGGTTAGGTAGCATGACACGTGTGCCTCAAGAATTCCCCGCGTGTTTCGTCCATGATATAGTGAACGCATTCAGAGTTCGCAAAAGTTGGGATGAGTGTTTAGAGAGCATTCCATCCACTCTGTAGATCGTGAGCAGAAGTTGAGTAGTTAAGTGTTTGCTTGGTATCGTTAGATCTCCGATGCTCTCTGTGTGCTTCTTTCCGACATGATCCTTATTTGCAAGCACACCGGCTTAAGGAGGCGCATATGCGTCCACCGCCCTCCAATTCTCCTCAGTCGCTTGACAATCCAGCAGAAGAGGGATGGTGAGTGAAACTCTATTTGACCGTTGTTGAGTAATCTCAACTAGTTAAACGAAATTCTTTTTTATTTCATTACCGAACCTTTATTAGATTTGCTGCGATCAGGAGCACTGGGATTGCAATGTCCGGATTCACTAAGTGCCTTTTTTTTTACTCTTCTCAGATCCGACTTCCTTCATTGGATTTGTAATTAACGATCTCAATTTGGTTGTGGACGCCTATCTATTTTCGAGTGATGGGAGAGACCTCGAGATGTGGATTTCTCGTGTTCAGCAACAAAAGGTGTGACGTCATATCAACAGGAGTATTTTTGATTGCTTATTTACTGCACAGTTACGTTTTGACTGTTTGGAAATTTTTAACCGCACTCATTTAATGGAGTCGCTAGTGCGTAACATTAATATGATCCGAACGGACTTTTGAAGTCAGTGCTGCAGGAATCACTAACCCTTTTGACAGATTGCATAGGCAAATAAGCAGAATAATAAGCATTTGGAACAAAAACAGACGTATTTAAGTAAATTTTGGCTTCATTTGTCACCGAAAGGGAATAGTGAAGGGATGGAAATAAGTTCAATGGAAGTTTCCGTCTTTCCGTTACAGGCCGAAATAGTCACAGTGCAGCAGTCGAATCCAGTGCACCGAGATTCCCTCAACGGGTTCTGGCAACACCGCTCCAATACACTGAATTCACTAGATGGCCTGCCTCCGCGTAAGAACGAGTACCTCCGTATGACCTCCTACGACTTTAATCCGCACATTGCATACCGCAGTACAAAGCGCCGTAACGAGGCTCCACAACGTCCACGCCTCTCTGACTCTTTTTCCACCTCTATCAGCGTCATCGGACGCTCGCAGCAACTAGTAGATAGTCCCGCTTGCCGTTCCGCCAACTGGCGTCTCGGTGCCCCTGCAGCACCATCGGAGGGAGAGTATACTCTAACAGAACGGTCGAGGAATGGTAGCAGCGGCATGGTTTCTAAAAGCACTAGCAGTGTCTCAGATTCTTCTACCTCCTCCTCTTCCACCAACACGACTACGAATACTACAACATCGATGTCGGAAGGGTCCCAGGACTCCACGAGATCCTCTTCCCCCGCCGCAGTCACTCCCAAGGTCAAACATTCTTTAAGGAGAATAGTGGATCTTGGTACTACCGAGCTTGTGAAAACAGATTCCATTGACAAGCGGTTGACACGGTGAAGCTGAGAAGGAGACTGTTTTATTTTTTCACTTCTGCCCACCTGCCTTTTTTGGTGTGCGAGGACACACTTGCATACACCGATGTTTTCAATTTGACTTGGTCCTCTCCCCGTTTCGCCTTTGCAAAATTTGTCCAATTTTTCAGATGTCTTCTTATTTCTAACCACTAGAAAAAACTTGATGAAACAGATGCATTTTTTAGCCGGTACTCTTTTTTTCCGCAGCTAAGAAGATCCGTTCCAATTACTTACCTGAATTTCAGTTCTAGCAGATTCGTCAAACCAGGTTAAGGGATGCTAACCAATGTCATCATCTTTTGTTGGTATGGTTGTATCTTTTTCCTCATCTGCATTCCACAGCGTACTGTGAACCTGAGGAAAGTATAACCAGCTCTTAAAGGAGGCATAGCCTAACAGATGGAGACAATAATCGACGTCCTTTTAAATTCGCAAAGAACTTGACCCATGATAAAAGGGGAAGCAGGGCAACGAGATGTTGTGAGATAGTAGAAGCAGTTGTCTACACAAATCGAGGGCGATTAAGATTTGACAAGGCTTTTATGAAAGCAGGAATTCCGGTAACAGCAAAAAAACTATGGAAAAAGGTGATGGCTAGTTTCTGTGCCTCACGCAGCGGCTGTTTTGTAGTTCTATTAAGGGAAAGAGGTAAGCGGTGAACGATCACATTTCTCAAAACTTAAGTGTGATTAACCGGTACAACTACAAGCTGGAGATTCAAATCTGGCTAGTTTATCACGACACCGCAGTCATGAGCGCAGTGCTGTTGGACTGCAGGGAGCGGGGATGGAGTGGATAGATTTATGCAACCTTTCTCTAACACGCTAATTCTTTTTCCTCGACAACAAAGGAGAACTATATATCCCTCGACTCTATGCGACTCAGCATAGCGTACAGAAGCGAAGAACTGACATCCACAATTTTTTTCTTTACGATGCCAAGGAAATTATGCTCTCCCAAACCAATGGAGTGGTATTTCATGAATCGCATAAATTTTATGAATCTAAAAACGTACTTTGGGTTTGGAAATCAACTCTCTATCACTTCTGGGAAGAGCTGAGGAGCAACCGATATGATCTAGACTTTCAATGATTGTGATCTTCAGTAGCCGCATCACTACTGACGGATTACATCGATCAACTATTAAAAGCAGTGCATTAAAAAATGAGTTAGCTGAAGGAACCAGTAAGCTCGTGTGCAGACACTAGAATGGACTTACATTTGCGGATACTTCTGTTTTGTTTGACAGTGATAAAACAAGTTTAAAAAAAACTACAACATTGTACATCTAGCTTTAGCCAATCTTGCGGCGATCATGCAGGTCGTCGCCAATCCCGGCTAAGGTCGTACGGAGGGTGTGGTAGATCGCGCAAATTCAGTCAGCCCAAGTGTATCCATGAAAGCGGAAATGTATTTCCGTAAATGTGTGGATGAAATCGTTCACACAAGACCTCTTGTTCAATTTTGTCATTTGAGTGAACAATTTGTGAGGATTTGGTGGGAAGCAACGCATGAACTGCATGACCCTGGTTAACTAGAGAGTATGTACATGCGACAACCATTGCCATTAGTTGACATCTATAGGTAAGTTTCTCTACTGGCCTTCCAATGCCTTTAGCAAAACTTGCCAAGATTTTCACATAGCGCACATATGACATTTCAAATTGTTGTCATGTTAATCGTTGTTCATAAATGATACTCATTCTAGTCCAATGAGTACATTTGTTAAAACTGAAAAGCTCCAAGTGGAACAAATTCCCGGCAAAACTAGAGCTCACATTTTCCCAATTGAGT